GGAAAGTGGATTTCTCTAGCACACTTCAGCCACTGTAACTGTCACACCAGATCAGAAGTGACAATTTAGCACGAGCAGCAGCTGCTGAAGTGTTCTCTCTGCACTTCCCAGAAACCATTGCTTTCCTTTTACCTTTTTCAGCCTTCATTCTAATTCTGGTGCAGGACTTTTTTTCCTGCTCATTTCACAGTGTCTTGCCATTACTGCCTCCCTTGCTCTTTGCCTTAATGTTTCCTAAGAGTGTTCTTGCCCAACAGAAATCTAGAAATTCAGACAGCAAAGTGGACACTTGGGCATTAAATGGCCAAACAGAGTTAGTGAAATACAAGATTTCTGGTCCCAGCTGCAATCTCTGAAGACATGGAATATCTCATCTTTCAACCAAAGGTTTGTTTTTCTGTCTGGTTATAGGCCCTTTCATCAGAATACAGAAGTTGCATTTCTCCTGTGTGGCACTCAGAAGTCATAGCTATATATATCCACGACAGGCAAAAACCCCAGTGAGGATATGTTCTTCCAAACTACATGAAACCACTTCTGACACAGAAACCAACCTTCAAGGAAGGAGAATCTACCAGACAACATTTCTATTTAGAACACAATTTCAGGCTCAGATTCATTTATTTAGTCACTTTATAATATTGTTTCCATCAGATTAAAAATTCAGATGCACAGATTCTAAAGACATTCTTTCTGCATTATGTCATCAACCTAAAGGAAATTTTGAGAAGTCCTGTGGCCCATTCCTACCCCTTTGTTCGATTCCATAATTATTCTCACAAACAGTTAACTATCACATTTAAAGATCAACTAAAATATTTCATGTAAAACCTCATAGGTCTTGAAGTAGGGTGTAATCCTTTGTAACCATCTCCCCACTCGTGGCCTTTCCAAACTGAAATTATAATTCTATAGTTTCTACAGAAATTTATTTATTTCTTTTTAGATATTGATAGAGCTGGAGAACAATTGCCAGTCTTACCTTGGAAAACAATTCTTTCTGTTTCTCCAAATTCCTGTAACCTGTCTTCATGTATTCTTAATTTCCAAACTCTTTAGATGAGCTAGTAGTGTTCATGACCAACAGAAGATATCTGCTATAGGTTAATTTGGCTAATGCAGAGTGAATTTTAGATTCCTACTTAGACTGCCCATACATCTGTCTGTTACTTAACAATGCAAGAAATGATTTAGTAAAGTTAATGATCCATTGGGAAGGCAAAAGTAAATTCATATAATGAAGCATCTAGGACTCTTCTCTGAGCATGTAAAACAGCATTTTAATGAGCTAAATGAGTTTGAATATTTAAACTCTGAATAATGCTTACCATTTGTTATCTAAATTTAAAGCAATATTCCATATATAATCCATAATCTGAGAGGCTTGTTTTTAGTGACTGCTTCCTACCTACAAAGTATAAAAAATGTTCTTCAAATGCACACATGATAGAAGAGGCTATCTTATAAATATCAGAAGAAACATAAAAGGAATATATGAAAGAATGACTTTGTGAGAATGAGAAATAGTTGCAAGACTTTTTGGAGTAGATTATGAAGGAACTGAAAGAGCTTCTGTTTAAGTTCTATAAACAATATACTAAGCAGATTCCTGCCTTCATGGTGAAAAATAATTGCTGAAAATAAGGAGGTCAGTGGGTCTAAATACAGGTAAATTATAGCATCCTTTGACATTTTAAAGTGATTTCAGAGAAAATATAATGCTTTATCACATTAGAATTAAAGGAACTATTCATAAACAGAGAATTGTAAACTCTTCTCAACTGTCTGATAAATTCTCAACCAAAGCAGAGATTCCCTGACAGAATCACTGACATAATTTCCTATCTTCCACTATAAACATTTTGGGAACAAGAAGCCTGTTCCACATATTATACCAAATTTGCCCTCCCTTTAACTTTCACCCAGTGTTGAAGATGTTGTAATGGAATATAAGTCTATACTCTACCACAAAGCAACTATTTGCATGTATAAAATAATTAATATCATCTAGTATCAAGTCTTCCAATTTTAGAGTATCATTCAATGTCTTCAACAATTTTTCAAATGAAAATGGCACCAGAACCTCTTAACATCTTTAATAGCTCTTTACAAACTTCAGTTAATAGTCTCTAGAGTGGACTCAGAATTGAACACCAAGAATCCATGCGGGATCTGACCAGTAAAAAAACCAGGAATTACTAAGTATCTGGAATCCTACTGGGATTCCAGTAGAGTGAATTTCTCTCCTAATAAAACACTTAAACCATTTTTATGTGATGGTCTGGCAAAGAGCAATTTTTAAATTTTTAACCTTTTCTTCCTATGAGTGCTTTCTGTGTGGTCTAGTATTTTTTCTTTTTCCTTTCTTCCTGATGGTAGGGGACAAATATTATTTGTATCTCCATATCTTCACATCCTGCAATTCTATATGTCTAGATACTAGAGGCAAACATGCCTCATTCTCCTCCCAACTGCCATGGTTTAAATGTTTTATTCCCTCCAAAACCCATAAGCTGGGAACTTAACACCATTGGAAGGTGGGTACTAATGAGATGTGCTTATGTTATGTGGGCAGAGCCATCATTGATGGATTAATGCTACTAAGAAAAGGGTTGGTGAAAAGGTTTCGTCCACTTTCGCTACGTGACAACACAGCATTCCTTCTCTACAGTGATTGGAACAATAAGAGGCCATCTTGGAATCAAAGACAGAGCCTGCTGGCATTTTGATCTTGGACTTTCCAGCCTCCAGAACTGTAAAATAAATTTCTGTTCTTTATGAATTACTCAGTCTGTGGTATTATGTTATAATAGCAAAACAGATACCCTACAATCATGCCTCTAGTTGGAGTAAGCAATAAATTGGTCAAGTCAGGAGATGAGCATTAATCCAGTCAAGGTCCTTTCTTTTTAAATTTTGAGCCAAAGAGATTATCTTCTTCTGTAGGGATGAAACTATGAGATGTGAAATGCAGGAACTCCTAGCAATAGCCTAGGAAAAAAAAAACAACCTAAGAAAGTTAGCCTGGGAAAAGAAAGCCAATATGGAATCCTGGTTCCAATTATTCCTGAAGCTTATCTGTACTCTTAGGTTCTCCATGGGTGCATGAGCTAATAAATTCATTTAAAGCAAAAAACAAAAACAAACAAACAAACAAAAAATCAACCAAACAAAAAAACAACAAAATACTTTTCCAGCCAAACAGGTAGTGACTTGCATATAGATTTTACTATCTATGGTTTTTACTTATTCCTCTTTCTCAATTTGATGTCCTATATTAGCTTTCTATTATTACTGTAACAAATTATTATCAACTTAGTGGCTTAAATAATACAACTTTATTATTTTACAGTTCTATAGGTTAGTAGCTGGCATAGGTCCCACTAGCTAAAACCAAAGTGCTGTCAGCGACACTCCTTTCTGGAGACTCTGGGAAATAATATGATTCCTCATCTTATAGTGGCTTCTAGAGGCCATATGTGTTCCTTAGTTCACGAATCCCTTCCTCCAGATTTAAATGCAGCAATGTTGGATCTCTGACAATTCTTATGTAGTTACATGTCCCTCTAACCCTGAACTTATCTGGAAAGGTTTTTGTAAGGACTCTTATTAAATTGGACCTACCTGGATAATCTAAAATAATCTCCTCATCTTGATGTCCTTAATTTTAAGCACATGTGCAAAGTCTGCTTTGCCATGCAATGTAACATATTCATAGGTTCTGGGAATTTAGGCATATACGTATTTGAGTGAGGGTGGAATCATTCTGTCTACCACTAAAAAACAAAAAAGGCATTTCATTTCTCATTTCATTTCTCATTATTCAGTTCAGTAATAAAAATGTTAAACAGGAGAAGTCAAAGATACCCTTCACAATAATAGCAACATGTTAATCAACACTATTTGGAAACCATTGTATTATATTAAAAACTCTTTCAAAACTGTTTTTCTGGGGAGAAAATTTCTGCTGGTTTTGTCTTTTTATGAAGATGCTTTTGGAGATCCTTACTGGATTTCCCCAGCTACAATCAGAATGCAATCTCTGGGATGTAGAAATAAATGTATTTCCATATCCACATACTTGAAGCCTAAGGCTGCTATTGTTCCTGAGCATAGAGAGTAAACACAGCATCTCTTTGTTTTACTAATTGCTTTGTTTCTCTAAGCTGCAAGTACAACATCTGCCAAACCAGAATGCACTCCTTCCACACACCACAGAACCACGACTGGATAAACGACCTACACATCATGGTGTAAGGGCAAGCACGTTGCAGGCAGCCAGAGGCAGTTTTCAAGAGGCAAAGACCACAAATGGAAATGAAACTGAATCACCCTCCAAAATCTTTAGAGTGGTTATGGAGTTGTTGATTCTGTAATGATTTCATACTGTCTGCAGTTTTATTGATTTTGTTTTTCAATAGAACTGTTAAAGATTACAATTCTAAGATAAGCAGAATGTGGGCAGATGCTCACATTCTCACACACAGTTCTGCCAAGATATTTTTACATCTATCTGCACATAAAACAAAATGAAGACATGTGCTATAGATGCACGCTACCAGTAGCCTCCCCCACCCCCACTGTCACCATCCCCAGAAGAAGGGAGTTTACTGTATGGTAATTTCCTGGATGAGGTATTAAATTTTACTTAGAAAAAAAAATTAACAGCACTTCTAAAATAAAAGAGATTTGCTTCTAAGGCACTTTATAAAATATTCTTAATTACCAAAAACCATTGAAAAGGCAATTTCTGTCATCATATCCAAATGTCATCTCTGCTATTTTCAATTCAATATTAAACTTCATGCCACATCAAAATATAAAATGCTGCAACAGCTTACATACTGTTGATGTTAATTCATCTACTGCATATCAGAATAGCTCATTGCAAATATGGTATGAAAGAAAGAAAAGTAAGCAAAACACACTCAGAAAAGACTTGAAGCACATTGCCTTAAGGAAAAAACTCCAGAGGAAAGACTGCAAAACCATAGCCTTACCTTGGGAGACTTGGGCAGGTCCGCCGTCCTTTCTTCTGCTAAGGTTAGCAGGGTTAACTTTGTTTCCTCTACTGAGGGGTGTTTGGGAGGGCGAGGTGGGGGGTGTGAGGCTGAGCTTTCGTATCTCCGCATCATGTAATACTGTTCTTCAGTGATCTCTTCTACCAGAGTCCTGACTAGAAATGGTTCTGTATCCCTAGAGAAATTACTAACTAACTGAACAGTCATATTCAAGCGGCCCACAGGAATTTCCCAGCACTCCGCAGGGTTGGCAAAGTCACTTATGAGTAGGTAAGAGTCTGTGATGTCCTCCTCCAACTGCAGTCCTGGTGTAGCAGCCAGCACGTCCTCTTCAATGGAAAGATCCCTGACAGACACCTTCACATTGAAGGGCAAGCGGAACTGCTTACAGAGTTCAGAAATTGGGTACTGTTTCTTATCATGAATCACCTCTACAAAACCTCCTTCCATGTACAAAGGGAGCAGCACTGCCTCATAGGATTTTTTGAGAATTTTTTCACAGGCCAGAACATTCACCACTTTTTTTATTCCCTCACACAGGACTTCAGCCGTCTCTGAGTGATGCACCAGAAACTGGTCCCCAACAGATACAGATGACAGCTTGTCATGAGGGGAATGAAAAGCTTTGGTGGCCACCACATGAAGAGGCTCCTTTTCACTCTTAGCGATCTCTAGGTCATAGGCTGTTGGGAACTCCCTCGGTCGCCGCTTGAACTTGCCTTTATAGCTAGTGGGGATCAAGAAGTGCCTTTTAGGAAAATTGCTTCTAATTTCGGAAGCCAAGATTCTTGATGCCTGGTACTTTTTGTGGATCACAATGGTTTTCCCAGGCTGTAAAATGCTTTGGGGCAGGTGGTTTCCTTGAGGTGCTTCTATGACTTCAGTCACTATGGGGAACTCTTTACTGGTCATTTCAAAAAGATCTTGTGTTGATAACAGCTGAAGAAACCAGTTGGCATCATAAGAATCAGTGATGTCTTTGACTTCGACATCTAGACTGGGGAGGATGCGGACTACATCCTTGCGAACTGAAAAGAAAAAAAAAATCACTGTGATATTTTGTACTTCAAACTGTTTGCTGCAAGATACTCTCCTGGTGCCATAAATTTCTTTTTCAATATAAAGAACTCAGATGATCATAATGTATCATTTCTTATGTGTGATTTTCATTTTTTTTTCAAATTTTAAGATGAAAGAGATTGAAATTAAGTCCGTACTCAGTTTAAGAAATGACAGTAGCCAATACCTTGGAGCTCTAGGGAACCTCCTCAGAATCACATCCTCACTTCTACTGATGCACAATCACTCTCTTGATTCTAGTGTAAAATATTCCTGTGTTTATATGCATGCTTTTATCATTTGTAACAGTACATGAACATAGATATGCGTGTGAATATGTATGTAAATATGTTCATAAACTTTATATGAAGGGTTATAAATTATTAGGTCATTTTAAGTCATGCTCTCGAGGTCTAGACTTTGTCAAATTATCATAGAAGAAAGTTTTGACCAAAAACATATATTCTTTATACCAAATCATAACCTGTGAGATGAAGCAATACTGCAAAATCATGATACAAGCTAGTTGAGATTAATATATGAAAATAAATACGAAGATGCAATATTTTTCCAATGTCAAAGTTATTTCTTCCTCCACTGGTGTTATATTATACCTGCCTACAAAAGGAGTGGTGTAGAATAGGTCACAGTCAGAGGAGCCATTCAGGAGCCCTGGGTATGCTGGAGGGTACTCACCAATGTATTCATTGCCTTATGCATCACTGGGGTTAATGGACATCTGTATTTTTTCCAAGCACCCACTGTTTCATGAGTCTTTCTTTGAGACTACAGAGACACTTAAAATATTATCCTGCATTTACTTATCTGTTCCTCAGACACTACCCAACATAGTATCATTATAAATGGTCCTGAATTAATAAACTTATGTATTAGCCAGGCACTGTGTCACATGCTTATAATCCCAGCATTTTGGCAGGCTGAGGTGGGAGAATTCCTTGAGCCCACGAGCTCGAGACTAGCCTGGGCAAGATAGTGAAACTCTGTCTTTGTACAAAAAAATAGAAAGAAATTAGCTGAGCCTGGTGGTATGTCCCAGCTACTCAAGAGACTGAGGTGGGAGGATCACTTGAGCCTGAGAAGCAAAGGCTGCAGCGAGACATGATCACACCCACTGCATTTCAGCCTAGGTGACTGACTGAGACCTTGTCTCAAAAAAAAAAAAAAAAAAAATAAATAAATAATAAAGTTATGTGTTAATATTGACAAGGTATTACAATAGTCTATATTTTCTTGATAATGTACTGACATAAGTTTTATAGCATTTTCATGACCTGGCATTGATCTGCAATCTCTCCAGCCACCTTCTGTCATTTTTTCTTCTCTCCATGCTTTTAAAAATGAATAATATGGAGAACTTAGAAGACAGAATATCTTCTTATAAAATATTACACATATTATTACTTTTAATATTATTAACCATTTATGCAGCATCAAAAAACCCTATGATTTACATAATATTATTTATATATCCAGTGTAATTATAGATTTTCTGAAGATGCAGCATGAAAAAAGTATTATTTTCCTGTAAAAAAAAAAATCAGTGGTTGCCTATAAGCTGAAGGTCTGTAAAATCATAAAGAATTTTTTAATTTTTAGGAAAAAGAGAAATGGCTGAAAGAATGCTTCTTACATTAATAAGTTATTTTATAAAGTTTAGCACATACTAACTTTTGACATTGTTCCTACTGGCTTCCCTGAACCTCAAGGTAAGTCTAGAAACTAAAATCCTCATTGTTTGAATCAAAATGAGCTAGGTTTAAGAATTCTAGAGCTAGCTCTAGATAGGCTCATTCCTCAAGTCTAGGGCACAGCTAGATATTGGTAGAATAGATCCCATCAAGAACTTCCTGAGAACTCAGAATTGATCCACCAGAACATTAGAGTTTCAACACAAGCCAGATCCCAATCTTTCTTTGTACAGGGTGAGTGCTGTGGGCTAGGAACAGCTTGAATGCATTGGAGGACTTTGCTGCTCTTGGAGGAAGCATACAGGCTGTGCTGTCTAAACCCCTAAGATTTGTATTCAATTACTGACCTATCTTCAATACTTCTGTGCCTAAATCTACTGAAATAATGCTAGCCTATCTTATTTTACTTAAGATATCAGTAGCGTTTGACAAAGTAGATTAGACTCCCTCTTCTTTGATACATTTTTCTCACTTATTTTCCTCTGACCTCACTTGTGATTATTCTCGGTTTTGCTGGTTTCTTCTCCCTAAACACCACCCACCCCTCGCACACACCTTTTAGGGTGTCTTGGTTCTCTTTTTCCCTCTCTACACTCACGCCTACACTGATCTTAAGTGGTCTCATGTCTTTAAATATCATCTCTGTGCTGATGACTACCCAAAGTATAGCTCCAGCCAAATCATTTTCCTAAATGCTGTATGTCTACTTCAGATCTCCACTTGGACATCTAATAGATGTCTCAAAATTAACATGCCTAAACTGAAATCTAATATTCCCCCCAAATCTAAGCTATATACTGTCTTCCCAGTCTCGGTTTTTGGAAACTCTTTTCTTTTTTTTCAGTCCATAAATCTCAGAGATAGCCTTAGCGTTTCTGTTATTTAACACCTGAAATCTCTTACATCAGGACTATCCTGGTCTCAGCCACGTTATCACTTGCCTGGCCTGTTGCAGTGGCTTTCTAAACAGTATTATTGCAGTCAAATCTGAATAGGGAAGACAAATATATTTTTAGATGCTAAATAAATTATGTCTGTCTTCTGTTTATAAGCCTACAGTGTCAGTCCCTTCACTTTCTATAAAAGCCACAGTCCTTACCTGGCCCCTGGCACCACCTGGACCCCATCTGCTGCTCCTGTCTCACTCTAACTCTCCACTGTCTCCTGGACCTCCTCATCGTCAGTCAGATCTTTGCATAGCCTATTTCCTCTGCTGTTACATTCTCTGGCCAGACATGTTCACAGCCAACTCCTCTTCTTCTTCAAGTCTGCTTAAATATCATCTTGGCCATGAGACCTACTCTAGATGCTCTATTTAAAATTGCAAGCTTCTCTTCTATTTGCCCTTTTCTGTTTCTCTATTTCATGTCGCCCTTCACCTTCTATCATCCATATAACTTGCTTATTTATATTATGATCATTGTCAATTGTTTGTTTCCCTAAACTCAAACATATGCCTTCCCAGAGGCAGAAGCCTTTCATTGTTTTCTTCATCCGTATATCCCAAAGTTTAGAATAGTGCCTGGCACATACTGGATACTCAATAAATGAATTAATGAACAAAAAATAATTGCCAGAGCAAAGTCCATGAGTGAGTATTAAAGGAAGCAATTCAGTAAACAAATTCTATATAAAATTTTATTGGAGAAAAAAATGTTTTCAATGTTAAAATTTCTGCTACTATTCATAGCAAGTATTGCATACTTAAGACATGTCTCTTAAGGTTGCAGTTTAACTTAATCAATGGCTGTTCAATGCAATAAATACTTGTATTGTTTAATTTCTACAACATAATAGAGATACTGAGGTATAAATATATGAACAAAGTAAAACATATTTCATCTAAATTTTTTTAGTAAAAAAATTAGGCAAAATCATGACATTTATGCCTAAAGAGACGATTCAATACAGGGAAACAGCATGTGTAGTGAAAGTCAACAACTCTTCTTAGATTCACCAGAGAATTGAGGTCACAGGGCAAACTTCCACCCCAGAAACTAAACAAGTAGGTGAATGCAAACAGTCATAGCTCACTGGGAGTAAAAACCACTGCTGGAGGCAGCACCTGGAAGAACACAAGGGTATCTGGGGACTAAGGGTGGAATCATTTAAGAGATAAAACTCCCAGGGTGGCAGGAGCATGTTTAGGAGGACCTCCCATACTTTTCTGAGTCTTACTTTCAGGGGCCCATCCAGGTTCTCAGGGTGAAAACTTGTGCTTCTGGCAGGGTGAGAGAAAAAGCAACCACTCTGAAGTATACCCAGAGCATTCTGTTCTCCTTAAAAAATGCCTGTCCTCAAGGAAAGCTATTTTAGCACAGCCTAACCAACTTGTGTTTTACTAGAGCCTAACTGTGATGGGGAAAGAGAATTACCCAACCAAGCCACCTCTAATATTCTATGTGGGGAAAAGGCAATACCCAACTCCGACCTCCTCTGTACTTCTGCATAAAGGAAGGGGAATTCCCAACTCAAGCCTCCACCAGCCATTCTGTCTCTTCCAAAGGGGACAAAAATGCTGAGAAACACTTCTGAAGGTCACAGCCTAGAGACACAGGCTCACTAAAAAACTGAAACCTAATTATAACTTTATAGAAATCCCCCCTCAATACCATAGGACCACATCAACAGTGCTCCTGTATAAAAACAGGAAATTACAACTCAAACAATGGCATTTAATACAATACCTAAGAAGGGGGTCTCTGGAGACTAAAGTCAACAGAGCAGACAAAAACAAGAGCACTACATGAAAATGTAGCCACTGACATCTACCATTAGCGTAAACTATAAACACAGCCTAATTTCCATAAAGATAAACATAAAATATTACATTAAAAACTATTTATCACAGTTTTTTTTAACCTGAGTCGTTATGTCTCGCTTTCAAAAAAAAATTACGACCTATAGTATAAGGCAAAAAAGCACACTCTGAAGAGACAAATCAAGCATCAAAGCCAGATTCAGATACGGCACATATTTGGGAATTATCAGACCAGGAACTTACAATATAATTAATCATGCTAAGGAGTATAATGGAAAAAGGGGACAACATGCAGGGAAAGATGGGTGATGTAAGCAGAGAGATGGAAACTCTAGGGGAAAATCGAAAGGCAATGATAGAAATTAAAAACAGAGAAACAGTCTTTGGTGCGTTTCTCATTATACTGGACACTGCTGAGGAAAGAATCCATGAGCTTGAAGATATGTCAGTTAAAAACTTCCCAAACTGAAAATAAAAATTAAAAAAACATAATACCCAA